CCCTCCCCTTTTCTCTCTCTACCCCTTCTACTGTAAATCACTTCTTCCATTTGAATTATCTTGTCTTACCCCTCCTTTCCTCTTATATGTCATTTACCCACATATTTCTAAATATGGGAGTGTGGCACTGTCCCCATGATAAGTCCTGAACAAGTCCCAAATGAAGCAACTGTGGCTCAAACTTGTCAAATGGAATGTTCAAAGCCATGAGCTGGAGGGGCACCAGGAGGCCGCTGGTAACAACAACAACAAAGTTTTCCGTTGGAGCCATGTGTTCCTTTTCTTTCTCATTGCTGATGTCTCTCTGACTTTATTTTGGTGGCCCTCCATGTACTCTTATTGTAAGCCACATCACTCATCATAGCTTTGTTACAAGTCAAGTCATATATCCCAGGCATCCAGAACGGTACCTAGCACTTAAAAGGTGCTCAAGAAACATTTACTGAGTGATTGCATGGATGGCTATGGGAAACCAAGGGTTCATTTTTCTGTAGCTAGGAGTGAGAGGCCGCACGGGGGAGCCCCAGCTCTCGCTTCTCCATGGAAAGGAACTTCCCTCGCCTGTACTGAGGGACCTAGGTGTGGGTTGGTAGTGTTTTTAATGATAGTTGGATCCTGTATTTTTGAAATGTGTAAAACGAGATGAAAGACTATAAATTAAAGAGTTTCATACCACATTATATGTTGTAAGTATCTCAAAATATTGTTTATACCACCTCCTCTTTGAAATTAAGGTTGTCATTAGGTCACTGCTAGATCTATTATTTCATGAATCAACAAACACACAGATTAATGTCACAATTTAAAAATGATTTCAGTATAATCAATTTCCTTTGTAACCCAATGTATTTTATTTTATACATTTAAATAATAGGCCTCACTGGACTACCGAAATTAAGGGAAAAGTTTAAGAATCTTTGCTTAAAGAGAATGATGGCTTAGGGCTCTGTTAACCTCATTCACAAATCTGCTAAGGATCATAAATTAATATAATATGGATTTCTCTTGAAGTCCAACAAGGGGAGTGTCACTTCTGCCCTCCTGGAGGGCATCATATTATAAGGGATTCATGTAAGTGTGATAACAAAAATGGTATCATAGAAAGCATATTGACTTGATCTTCTACGTTTTCTTGATAGAGGGATATCTATCAAACCTTTCAACTTGCACTAAACAGAAAAAGGCCTGATGCATAAGGATAAGGAGCCTCATGAAAACTATTAAAAACCATAAATAATTGATAGATTGAGGCTGTGGTGTTGCCACTTCATGCTTCTCTAATTGATTATATTTTTTGAGTTTTGACATTGTTTGAAAAAAATAATAGCTAACAGCTAAGAACATCATTTCTCTAATTTATTTTCAATTAAGATGATGTAGTCAGTCATAGTATACCATAAGGGTCTGATAGGATTATGGAGAGTTGAAAAATTCTTTTGTATTATTCTTGTGTTTGTGGTGGTGCTGGTGTAAACACGTCTACTGCTCTCCCAATTATGTCAAAATAGCACATACAATTCTGTACAGTATATAATACTTGCGAATGATAATCAATGCCTGTTACTGGTCTATGCATTTACTATACTTGCTTTTTTACCATTATTCTAGAGGTTTGATATATACATGCATGTGTGTATGTGTGTGTGTGTGTGTGTGTGTGTGTGTGTATATATATATATATATATATATATATAGTGCTTGCAGCATGCAATTCCCACACCTGTAATCCCAGTGACCCTGGAGGCTGAGGCAGAATGATTGCAAGTTTGAGGATAGCCTTGGAAAATTAGTAAGAACTTGCCTCAAAATAAAAAACAAAAGGGCTGAGGATGTAGCTCAGTGGTAGAGCACCCGTGTGTTCAATCCCTAGTACTGAGAGAAAAAAAGAATGAATGAAAGAAAGAAAGGGAGAGCCATGTTACACCATGGCAACCTCATCCAGCTCCCTTACAGCATCTCTTGTTGCATAATATTCCCTGGTGCTTGATCTAAGCTCACATTGTTTTGTTCATCGTGGCCCTAGGAGCAATGTACATATTCTGTGTAGCCTAGGTGGCCTACAGGCTGGACCATCTAAGGTGTGTGATGCAGCAGGTGAACTTTGATGTTTGTACAGTAACAAAACTGGCTAATTATGCATTTCACCTAACTTATCCTATCATTAAGTGATGCATGATTATACCTCAAACATAGACCTTTATACCTCTGACCACCAAAGATAAAGAATCAATATTAGGAAAATCTAACTTTGGGGCTGGGGCTATAGTTCAGTGGCAGAGCATTTGCCTAGCACATGTGAGGCACTGGGTTTGATCCTCAGCACCACATATATATAAACAAATAAAATAAAGGCATTCTGTCCATTTACAACTACAAAAAATTTTTAAGAAATTCAACTTTGGAAGTTTAGGGTTTTTGGATATAGGAAGTTTTATTTAATAAAATTTAAAAGTGCTACACCATCACCACAACAGAAAATGGAAAGATTTGTCTGGGTAGAACATTTGGTCTTCTCTGCAATAATGCTGCGGAGATATTCAAGCCAGGAAAAATGATGCTTTTTTTTTTTCTTCTCTTTTTTACGGGTATTGAAAAGCCTGGGCTTTAATGACCATTTTTTTTTTTTTCTGACCTGGAAACAGTTTAAAGGAAAGGTTATCTTCTATAAGTCATTGATAGTCTTCTTACTGCTATTTGTAAACTTATTTTAGATTGGAGATATTATCTGCTTGGAGCCATGCATAATTTATAACAATCTCTGGCAAAACCTCAGAAGAGATATGCCCTTGTCTCAGGCGGACGTCAGAGGCGGGAGCAGCACCCAGTGAAAACACTCCCCCAGTGACTCTGGCAGAGGCACAGCCTCTGAGAGCTTTCTTCTTGAGGATTATGACACAGTTAAAAAGGAAAAAAGGGCGCCAGGCAAAGCAGAGTCACCAATGAAATTGGAGAGGGGCTCTTTTGAGAACGTGGGGGTGACTGTGGACGCTGGAGCCCTTTGGCAGGACGGTGAAACTCTTCCAAATTGGGTGGAAGAAAAAGGAGAAGAAATGGCYCACGAAGTCAATCTGGATTCCCTCAAGGAGTTAGAACTCGAGGTCATTCTCCAGGTCCTGCACCGTGACCAGGCTGTTCAAAGCCTAGAGGAAGAAAGGATAAGGTGAGTCGTCTGCAGAGGGGCACACTCTGCAGATTGGGCTTTTTCTGCCCCAAGTCTGCTACTGCTTGGCTTTGGGCTACCTGCTTACTGGTTACTGCTCACTAACTGCTGGGCCCGAATGAAGGCATGGGGGTGCTTATTTTTGCTATCAAACTAAACTTGGAAGGTGGTAAGAACAAAGGGAGGCTGCCCTTGCTCATCGTTTTGTGATGTTGCTGTCTGTCTGCTTGTCCTTTTCTCTGCTTTGGGGCAGTAATCCAAGGGGCACTTTCAAGTTTCTGGAAGTCCCCAAAAGAATGCTCTCAGGTTAAGAGTTCTCCCACCTTACTTTTGGTGTAACCTGAATACACCAGAAGGCAGTGTGGAAGAGCAAGTCTGATGGAATCCATTGCTCTCTTTTTTCCTTTGGCCACCTTTGCTTCCGTGTTGGCTTTGAGGAAAGACAGAGCATACACACGAACCTGCTTAGCCTGTCCCTGACTACTTTGCCAACAAAGTTTCTTTCCTGTCTGTCTCTAAGATGCAGGAGCTATTTGATATGAATTAACACTTAATAAGGCAGTACTGGGTGGTATCAAAACTGTCCATGGGGCTGGGGTTGTGGCTCAGCGGTAGAGCGCTAGCCTCGCACGTGAGAGGTCCTGGGTTTGATCCTCAGCACCACATTAAAAAAATAAATTAATTAAATAAAGATATATAAAAAACAATATTTATAAAAAACTGTCCACTGTTAGTTGTTAAGGTCCATCTTTTTAAAATATATTGGTGCCTGTTTATCAATGTTTATGGGGGACA